AGTAAAGAGGAAGTTGAAGTAGCTATCGGAAAATTAAAATCATATAAAGCAGCGGGAATCGATAATATTCCTACTGAACTAATTAAGGCATGCGGGGAAGCTGGAGTTTCTAAAATACATCGGTTGGTTAAAAAGATCTGGGTGAACGAGAAATTACCTGAAGAATGGAAAGAATCTATTCTTATTCCGATTCACAAAAAGGGTCCGAGGACGGATTGTAATAACTATCGAGGAATTTCACTCCTTCCGGTATGTTATAAAATATTCACTTTAATCTTAACCAGTCGAATCACGGAATACGCCGAGGAAATTATCGGAGACTACCAATGCGGATTTAGACGGAATCGTTCGACTATTGATCAAATATTTTCTTTACGGCAAATATTAGAGAAAAAATTGGAGTATAACGGTATTGTTCACCAGCTGTATATAGATTTTAAAAAGGCTTACGATTCTATTGACCGCCAGAAACTGTATAATATTCTAATCGAGCAGGGGATTCCAAAAAAACTAGTAAATCTAGTCAGGATGTGCTTGACGGAGACACTCAATAAAGTTAGAATCGGTAATAATTTGTCCGAAAAATTTGAGGTTCGTTCGGGCTTAAAACAGGGGGATTCTCTTTCGCCTGTCCTGTTCAATTTGGCATTAGAACATGCCATTAGGGAGGTAATGCGAACCGAGAAAGGGTTGGATCTGGGCGGGACAACATCCGTGCTGGGCTATGCTGATGATCTGGTACTGTTAAGCGAAGACGTTGAAACTATAAAACTAAATACGACAACGTTAATGAAAGCCGGTAAAGAACTAGGACTCGAAATAAACGTGGATAAAACAAAATATATGGTTAGCTGCAAAAATAGTGATACTACTGGTGATATCGATATAGATGGTAATATGTTTGAACAGGTAGATAAATTTAGGTATCTAGGTTCTACGATAACTAGAAAAAACGAAATTGAAGAAGAGATTAAGGTTAGACTGAAGGCGGGAAATGCTTGTTATTTTTCCGTGACAAAACTACTCAGTTCGCGCCTCTTGTCCCGTAACTTAAAAATTAGAATTTATAAAACAATTACCTTGCCTACAGTTCTTTATGGATGCGAAACTTGGCCGCTTACATTAAGGGATGAGCAGCGTCTTAAGGTTTTTGAATATAAAGTATTGCGTAGAATATTCGGACCGAAGAAGGATGAGTTAACCGGAGAGTTCAGACGGTTACACAACGCCGAATTGCGTGAACTGTGTCCGGGTAATATAATTGAGGTAATTTCATCGCGGCGAATCAAATGGGCTTGTATAGTTGTTAGGCTTAGTAACGAGAGAATTCCTAAAAGGTTAATATTTGCTGTGCCGAAAGGTAAGCGTCCGAGGGGTAGACCGAAGCGGAGGTGGGAAGATTCCATTAAAGCCGATCTGAAGGGCTAGGACGCCGAACGGTGGAGGGAGGTGTGTAGTAAGCGATTGGTGGTGTCGGCATCGAACCTTCGGGTTCGCTAAGCCTTTTATTATTATTATATATATATTTATATTAAATTCGAAAACTCGTCTATGAGGATGAATTTTTCCTATATTCACCTTTTCATTAAACACCTGTTTTTTCGAAACCTTTTTTTGTACCATCCATATGAGACAGGGAGCCGCTGCCCGGCTGAAACCGTTTACTTTTCACGATAATATTTTTTTCTTATATCACTTTAGAAAATTCGTTTTAGAGGATAATGTTTTCTATATTTCTGTTTTCATTGCACAGCTTCTTTTTCGAGATTTTTTCTGAACTTATTTTACCACCATCCATAGGAGAAGGTGGGGAGGGGGCACCCAGCTGGATCCGCTGGTACTTCTCACGATAATTTTATTTTATATCACATTAGAAAATTTGTCATAGAAGGCGAATATTTCCTATATTTTTCTTTTCTTTATATAGCTGTTTTTTTGGAACTTTTTATCCGAATTGTTTTTCAACCAACTAAGAAGAGGGCGCGCCCCCCGTCACCGGGACGCGAACTCTACTATTTTTATCCAGTCATTAATTGTCAGGTTGCCGGTCAACGGCGGTGCTGTGCACACTTGTTATCCCATTCGGCCACCCCGCCCCCAATACTTTTTAAGATAATATTTTTATATTTTTTGATAAGAAATGGCATATTGTACCATTTTGGAGAGGCGCTTCAGCCCGAAATCTCTTTTCATACACAGGAAAGTGGAAAGTAAAAATTATAGATGGTACATCTGTGCCTGAAGGTTTTGGCACAGTTCATCAACTGTAGGTTTTAGATCCTTCGGAGGCTTACCTTCTTCTATTTTTACAACAGTGTCAAACCGCATAAGGTTTATATAGTAATTAGATTAATAGGAATAAATGTCCTATAATCTTTCATTTCCATTTCAAACAACCACTTTTTCCCGGAACAATCGTTAGAAACCCCATTGGAAGTTTGAAACATGAGTGCCCTGGAGAGCTTTTTAACCGAATCTATCTCTGTATATATTCAGATTGATCCTCCCAATTCTAGATTTGTGTTTTTTTACCCTGTATTATTTTTTGTGGGGATTTGGTTTAAGTGGACAATGTTTTGGAGTTTTTTTTTTGTTTTTTTTAAGTATTTTTCATCAACTGCTAAACACGTCCATCATTGTTGTATGATTAGAAATTAAACATTGACATGACTGAAAAAAATTAATTTGAAAACACATTTTGAATTTTGTTAATTAATTGATTTATCAAAAGTACTGTTCATTTACCTATTTATCTGTCTTATTCATTTTTCTAACAAAAAGATGTTACCATGGCCAAGTATTCTTTATTGTGATGTGACATTCATATGTTCTGCCATTGGATTGTTTGAATGGATTGGATTCACAAAATAGGATGGCCTGGGCTGGATTGAATGCTAGAACGATCCTTGGAACGAGGTTTGATCGGTCCTCTTCATAAAATGTTCCTCAATAAAATAATCACTGTGCTTTGAAAATATAACAAGGAACTGATAGAAACATTATTTGTTGGAAGAAATATGTAATACACAGATGAGGTGAGTAGCAGTATAACTATGTCATCTGTGAGAACCGAATAAGGTGGCAGAGGATTGTAGGCGCCTACGTCACCATATGTACAAAAAAATGTAAAATAAACAGAAGCAAAATAACAAACAAATAATAATCAAAAAGTATATACAATAAATAAAATAAAATAACTTAAAAATAAAGAAATAAAAAAAAGGCTAAAATCACCCACATACCTATATACATTATTTAAAACCAGGGGAGAGAACTCAGAGGTAGCCTTGTCTCTCCAACTATGGAGGGAAAAGCTGGACACCAGGAGAATCCTCCGCTACTCTCTCAACCATATTACTGGTGCTAAAGACAGCGGAGATTGATCGAGAGCGCTTTAGCCACACACCCTCATGTTTTGAGTAGAGAATCTGACCATTGCCAGAACTCCAATATATATAATCTACAAACGATCATGGGGTGGCTGCCGTTTTAACCTTCATGGATGAGTATAGGGATGGGTGGTGCATCATAGGAATTATGTAAGAGGATTTGGATGATAACTAAGATTCTGGTGAAATTTGGAAAATTTTTCTGAGATAAGGTCTAGAACAAATGGGATGTTGAGGTCGTGATGTAGGGTTTTGTTGGTTACATAGAATGGAGCATCGACTATTGTTCGAAGGACTTTGGAGTGGAAGGATTGGATGCATTTGATTGTGGAAATGTTTTCTGTTCCCCACAGTTTTATTCTGAAAGTCCAAATAGGTTTCAGTATTGTCTTGTAGATTAGTAACTTTTTTTCAATAGAAAGTTTAGATTTTCTATTTAGTAGTCTGTATAGTGTTCCGTATCGTTGGGTCTGAGGGTTCCACGTTAGTCATCTGTTTAAGAGAAAGCCAAGATACACGACTGTATCTGAGAAAGGAAGCTGGATGGAGTTAAAATAAACTGGTGGACAGGATTTACTATAATTGAAGATTGACATTTGGAGACGCCGTTATGCCATTTCCAGACTGTAGCATGTTCCCAACAAAAATATTAGGCGGAATGTTCAAACAATTATACTCTATGACAAAGAAATGAAAAGGCTGAAATGGTCATTTAGAGAGAATTACGGAGGCCCGATAGCCAAAATTAATCTTTCTTTATCAATCGATAGAAAGGCGACCAAACGGACGAACAAGGAAGAAATGGTTGCAGAATGTGCAGGCAGGTTAGAGGGAGACTGACATAAACTTTTGGATACGATAAACAAATAAGTTGTAAAATAAAAAAAAGCTAATGCGCCTAGCTCCGCAAGTATAACGATGGAAGGTAATATTTCTTTCGGGAGGAATTTAGGTCGGAATTCGCAACAGAAATGGAAGTAAGACAGAGAGATGGACTTGTCTAATTTTTAATCTTGAGCTCGAGAAGACCATAAGGTATAATGAGATCCAGAGATCTGGTACCTTAATAAACCATATTGTACATTTCCTCGGATAGGCTGACAACATTGATATCACAGGATGGTCATTAGAGTGATGCATTTACAGCACTAAAGAATGCTGCCGCTAAAATGGGGCTACTGGTAAACTTCAGTAAAACCAAGTATCCTAATGTGAATCTAAGAATGTCGCGTCAGACAGCAAATATATTGCTAGAAGGGCATATCATTGAAATGATTGAGGTGTCTGTATACCTTGGATCACAGGTAAACAAAATGAATGATATTGGTGTGGAAATTGAAAGAATAGTAGCAGCAAACCGGTGCTATTTTGCAGTACAGAAACATCTCCGAAGTAAACCTATATTGAAACCCTTGAAAACTGGATTTATAAAGCTCTTATCCGATCTGTACTAACTTATACATCTGTAACGTGGGCCCTCACTAAAGTTCAAGAGACTTCGTTGCTACGTTTTGAAAGAAAAATTCTGAGAAGAGTCATTTTAATCAGATGGAGGCGTATGGAGAAGAAGGACAAATGTAGACCTAAAAGCAATGTACAAAGACGATGATGTGATCAAGCTAGGAAGGCTGGAGACGGATATTCATGCTTAAGCCAGGGGGTCGTAGTGCTGATGGAAGAATAAGAAGAATTACTGTCCCCTCCCATTCTAGTCTTGATACTATGCAATTTACATTAAAATGCGAAATTTACAATTTCGAAATTGAATAAATTTAATTCGGAAAAAAAAACACTTTCCTGGCAATAAACAATATGACATAATAAGAAGTTTTTCAATCTAAAAAGCATTATGATATTTTAATAACCTTACTGTTTATACCATTGGCAGTGAAATTTAAATTTGGTTATAAGTTTAGGGAGGTTTGAGAAGTTGCATATTTTTGACTTTTCTGTTATCTTTATTCTTGTCAAAATAATTTTTAGTTATTTACGGTAAGTTGTATGAGAAGTTTAATAACTCGATCATTGTTTTATAATTAGTTATTTGTTCTTTGGTTTTTATTTATTCATAATTGTTGTTTTTATTTATTTGTTTTTGTATGTGAAAGGCCATGGCTGTACAACAGTTTTGTTTAAGATGGAATAATCATCAACCGAATTTTATTTCTGTATTTACGAATTTATTGACCAATGAATCATTAGTGGATGTAACTTTAGCAGCAGAAGGAAAACAGCTCCAAGCCCACAAAGTTGTTTTATCAGCTTGTAGCACTTATTTTCAGGTAATAAAAAATTTAGTTAGAAATTGTATGTTTCTGGTTGTAGCTATTATATTGATTATTTCTTTTCTTTTTCAATTATGTTATGTGAGTTGTGTTTTTTCTTTACGTTTTACATTTTTCAGTCATTTGATTTTAATAAAAATACTGCCTATGGTTGGAAGTAAATGTCTTATTTTTTGTATTGAACCATTGCAAATTTCTGTAACTTGTTATTTAGAATATTATTATCCTTATTTTTAATAAGATTGGTAACCAGTTAATATTTCTTATCTAAATTTATACATTCTTGCTCGATATAATATTGTACTAGCAAGTAATTCCTCTCTAGTTTGATTATAATTGTATATACCCAATGTTAACAGGATTATTTTTCTTCAAACTATATTCTCTAAGACATTTAAAATGTGAAACAGTAGTTATTACTCACATTCATTTTTTGAACTTTATTTCACTAAATGTTTACCATTTAGTTTGTATGATGAGTATAGTTTTTCATTGCAATTCTTTCCTGATCAGAATCAATCTTATTTAAAATATATTCATTATTTTTGTTTTCTAACTGAAATCATGGATTATTTTAAAATTTAGGATACATATTTATACATGACAATGCTTAATTGATTTTGTGATAAGTTTTATTTTTTAAATTGTTATTATGAAATAAGTTCTTGGTTTCTTATTAATTCCAGCTGCTTTAAGAAAATATTTTTTACATACTCCTTTATTATAAAATAATTTTTTGTATCGGTTGATGAGTACTATTGCATTTATTATTTACCTAGCCTTAGACATTGTATACACACAAATGAAAATTGAATTTTTTGGAAATAATGTAATATATATATTTTATAAGTGAGAACATTCATTGTTTAAAATTAAATGTTCTAGTGAAATTCAATATTTATACGACTCGATTAGATATAGCATATTTGAAATGTCTGAAAATTGCACAATATTTATGCACAATGCAAGAAAATATTTATGCTTTTCTTATTAAAAACATGTTCATTAAATGTTGCAACCAAATTAATATTCAATTAGTGAAATATTCATCTGCTTTATAATATTTTACATGTATGTTTTTGTTTGATTTTTAAATTCACTGCTGTAAATAATATTAAGTTATTTAAAATTTTATATTTATTTGTGTTTATTGCTCAATGTTGAAAAAATAATGCTATGCAGGAAAATTGAGACAGAGCAAACCACCTGTTGATATTGACATTATTATACATTTAAAAATTAAAAAAGTAATTAATAATTAGCTTGATTATTGAGGCTACTTTTAAAGTTGATCTCATTTATATTATCTTTTTTTAAATCTTGACTAATTAAGGGTTCAGTTCTAACTATCTCGAGATAGTATAAATAGTACCATAAAATTAGGGATTGACCTGATCTTAAAACAAAGAAGAAGAAAAGAGCTGAAACTTGTCAGAAATTGACCATTACCTTTCCCTCCTTAATAACTGATAAACAGTCCCAAAGCTTCCCACATTGGATTTTGATTGAGGAGAAAGGGGAAATGACAGAAAACTTATTTTATTTATCTATTTTTTTTTTTAGCTTTATGTGAACTTCTCAAAAATTATGAGGTTATCGAAAAACCTGTTCTCTACAAAATTAAAGTACTTCTAAATTTCTAAAAAAATGATTATATTCATATTTTTTGTTGACTTCAATGGTCACTGAAATATTTAAAGCAATAAGGTTTAAGAATTTTCCCTTACTGCAAAAATTAGTCCAAACACCATGAAATCATTATAGTTCATAGTAAATGAATTTTTAGAGGTTGAAGTTGTTTAACATTTTCAATAGTTTAAAAAGCAAATTATTATCAAAAGTTTTTTTTGTTTAGTGTTTCTAAAAATCAATAATGAATCGGTGAAACTGACAACAAAATAATATTCTATAACAATCATTTAGAAACTTTGTAAATTTCTTTTGGGAGAAATAGGTGTTTCCAGATAAAGGAAATAGAAACAGGAAACTCAGGTTTCGTCGGCTCTCTATTATTATATTTGGTTACTGCTCCTTTAGATAATTACCAAATTCTTTCATATTTCATATTTAACCATTTTTTATATGAGGTTCTAATGTGTAATGATTATTCCTTTTAAATAAAAAAATTAAAGGTACTTTAGAGGAATAAAAATTAGACATTTAGGCTCAGATAGTGAACATCAATGAGAATAAGACCTACATTATATTATTATTACATTAGACCTACGTTTTATCTTGTACTGATGTAATGAATTAAATAAAAATTGTTAAAGCCGTTTTCGAGAAAATCGTAAAAATGTCTAAAATCGATTATATAAAGTGGCTCTTCTGGTCAACCGATTTTAAGTAACATCCTAGAAATATATCAAATTTAAATATTTATTTTCAGTTTTGTACAATTATTTGTTATATCACACACACACACACACCATTTTGTGGGACTTGGATATTTGGACATCAAAACGTATTTCCATTGAAAACTCAGATTCGAAAATTTTGTTGATCGCAATACTTTCCCTTACTACATATTACATATATCGGTAAGTGAAAGTAAAAGGGTTGGTTGAAATCGGTGACTCACTGACTGTAACTCCCCCTTGTAATTGTTTTTAAATTGCTATCCTTGGACTCCTCTTCTTGGAAGAAAATTTCCATCTTCACTTTCAAGATGATCTGCAGTGATAATCCTATTACTGACTCCACTATTTGTGCACATGGTTGAGCATTCAAAGCCACTTATTCAACATTCTGTAGGTAATTAACGATTTCTGACAAATTGCAGTTTTTTTTTATGTTTGGGTTTTGAGTATTTTTTTCTAGTTTTACTGTATTAAAATGGCCCATTAACCAGTCTTTTTATATTACTTCATACAAAAAATTTCAATCTTCATCCAAAAATTCAATTTCATAACCTGCTCTGTTATATTAAATATTGATTTTTTGTCAAACTTTCAATTGTTTGTATGAAAAATATTCTTTAATTGTTGCAGTTTCTAAAGAAATTTTTCCATATTAAAATGTTGCTAAAATATCATTATGTTTATTAAAGTATTATGGAGATCAATGTTTATAAAAAAAAATTATTGATGATCTTTTCAGTGATTGGTGTAATGAATTATATAGTGCAGGGATTCTCAAACTGAGTGTCACAATACCTTGAGGTCCTGCAAGTGTACATACAAATTCATAATTTTATACTTATTACTTATAAAATTTAAAGTTAAATATGTGGCAAAAAAACTACTGGTATAGTGGACAGTTATAAAAATTTCCCTTCTATTTAAATTCTGTCAGTTATTTCTTAGTATCAGTCTAAAATGTAGTAGTTATTATTATTCCTAATTGATTGTGAAAAAATTGTATAAAAATCACTCTTAGCATACATTTTATTAAAACCACATTTGATTGTAATATAAATTTTTTTTTTTTTTAGGCTCTTTTTACTTCCAATCCATGTCAGCACCCAATAGTTATCCTCAAAGATATAAAATATAATGATCTTAAAACAATGGTAGATTTTATGTATTATGGAGAAGTTAATGTTTCACAGGATCAGTTGCCTGCAATTTTAAAGGTGATTATTTAGATATCGTTAAAATATGATTTTTAATTGTAAAATTTATTACTTGTACCAAATATTCATATTTTTTGTATTGTAGCTCTTAAAGTCGATTTTCCAAACTAAAATGAAATGGACTTGTGTTGATTATGGCAATACTGCAATTTTTCAGAAACATAATTAAAATAAGTTGAAACTCCTGACATTTTTTTGCTATTTTCATTTTATATACATGTTCAGAATAGGTTTTGAAATTGTTTTAAGGTGAAAACATTATTGTTTAATCAAATTTGAAATATTGAATAAAATATGGTTGTTGCTATGTGATAAATAAAGGAATTCTTAACTCCCAACTTGAGTCCCATTAGAGAGTGTGGAAAATTGCAAGCATCTTGGAGTGATATTAGTTATGAATGAAAATCAAATAATGGTTACAATTGTTGAAAAGAATAAATCCTATTACTTTAAGAATTTAAGGTTTATTAGAATAAAAGTTTTCAACAAAAACCAAAATGATCATATTTAGACAGTGTCATACACTAATATTTAAGGATAAGATTGACTTATGGGTAGGATACTGCCTCCCTTTGCTAAATTAACCTGGTTCCAAAATCCTGCTTACAAGAGGAGGTCACCAATTTCAATGAAACTTTTTTTTGTAATAATAGATCAAAAAATATTAGAACCATGTGTGAGGGTTATTGGTTATACTTCATAGGATCAAAGAAAAGAAATTATAAAATTTCAAGATTTTTTTGTGTTACTGTTTTTTTACCTTTCCTCTGCACTGATTTCTAGGTTATGATGTACTGATTTTTTTGGGAGGGATAGGCGGTAAAATAAGAAAAAAATATTGCTGATTATATTACTGAATTCAAGTGTATAATAAATTACAAATACAAAAAGATGCTACCAGTAATGTTGGCCAAGTAAATTTTTGTCATGAAAAAGCAATTCAGGTCGTTTCTAGCTTACTTAAAAACTTTTTAAATATAAATTTGTTTTGGAATAAAAAATTATAAAATTCTGAGCTTGATTTTATGGGAGAATTTTTTACTTTCACTTACCTATATATGTAATATACAGTAAGGGTAATTATTGCAATTGTGAAAATTTTTTAAGCTAAATTGTCAACAGAAATACACGTTTTGATACACGTCCCCTGAATCTAAATAACCAAGTTTCTCAAAAACGAAAAGTTGTACAAAACTGAAATTGCACATTTAAGGTTTTTAGATGCCTGAGATGTTACAGCAACATTTTTGTCAAAATCGACAAACCAGAAGTGATACTTTATCTCATCAATTTAAGACATTTTTATGATTTTCTCAAAAACGACTCCTACGATTTTGATTAAACTCATTATGCTAACAATTAAGTGTTTTTTTAGTATAAGGTAGATTTTATCTTTATTGATGTTGATTTTTCAACAATTTCTTTCTCTGAAGTACCTTTAATTTTTTTTGTTTTAAAAAATTAACTACTTCACGATTCAGATAATGAATGAAAATGGTTAAGTAAAACTAAAGGAGAAAAAAGAAACGGTAGCGAGAATTGAAACTCGCGCTCGTTTGGGGTAATAGGGTGATAATAAGGAGCCGAGAACTGCTGAGGAAACTGGAGTGTTCCCTCAAGTTTGGTGAACAGGTTATGATTATATTATTTACTTATACATGTACGGTTTTCATAAATGTTAGTGCTGGTATTATTTAATATTTGAATGTATAGATTACAGCAATATAAAAATTAAAATCTGTATATATAACAGTGTTTAAACAAATACTATACTCACAATGAAACATAAACGGATATCTGACCTCCTAACTGACACTCTTGTCGGAATAAAAATAATTCATGCCTCTTAATTATTTATTATAATTAAATAAATAATTAAAATATACAGTTGTAAAAGGAAATGGTTAGTTAGTGACTAAAAAAGCATAAATTTAATATATTATACTAGAAAAACATGTAGTAATTCATTGTTTCAAATAATGAAATGAAATGAAAAAATATTTTATTATTCTGGGACTGTTGTCCCTTTAGCACAAATTATAAATACAGATTGTATGTCTGTGTGGTTACAATTAGATTATATATTTACAATAAGAGTTGACTAAAACTAAAAATACTGAAGAAGAGAAAGAAAAGAACAAGAAAATTGTACATATATATGAGAAACTAAAATAACTAAATAAATTAAGGTAGTCTCTGGGGGTGCTTACATATTTGTCTTAAGTATATTTCGCAATCAGTCGGATTGAGAAAGGAGTAGGTGTTTAAAGAGGAGAGGTTTCAAAGAGGAATATCAGCAGGGATGGAATTCCAGAGGGAGACGGCTTGTATTGCAAAGAATTTGTCAAACGCAGCAGTTCGGTGAGGAGGAGGATAGAGGTCAGAAGTACGAGATCTAGTGGGACGGGATTGGATGGAGTATTTGAATTGTAAACTGTGATAAATATATGAGGGTCAATGAGTTCTAATGATTTGGTACAGAAAGGTGGCTAGGAAGTACTGACGGTGATAGGATGGGTAAAGCCACCTCAACTCAGTGTAATACTGGGTAATATGCGTATCCCTTGAGATTCCGAAAACAAATCGTAGTGCACAATTCATTAGGCGTTTAAATTTGGCCTCGGAATCTCCCGAGAGTCCACCGTACACCATACAGCCATAGTCGAAGTGGGGGAAAACAAGGGAGGAAACTAGGAGTTGAGGGGACTTATATGGAAGGAGATATCATAGACGATTGAACTGTTTTAGGGTAGAGATAGTGCAACGGGAAATTTGAGAGATGTGTGGTTTCCAGGATAGGGTTTGATCAAAAGTAACACCTAGGTTTTTAATGGTAGTGTGGAATAAGATAGGCAAATTGTTCAGGAGGAGATTATGAGATACCGGGTAGGATTTGAGGAGTGAGGGGGATCCGATCAAGATGGCTTTTGTCTTCTCGGCGTTCAGAGTGAGCTTATTGTGGTTTGCCCAAACACTTATTCTGTCAATGTCTTCCTGAAGTTTTAGAGTGGCATCAGAGAAATCTGTTGGATTAAAGGTGAGGTAAATTTGAATGCAGGTTTTTTTTTTTTTTTTTTTTTTGTTCTTCCCTACCTCGCCTTTAAGGCTATACGGGATTTTCCTGGGCCGGAGGGTGAGGGCGGGGAATTTAAAATGGCACCGGGATGCGAACTCATACTTTTTAAGTCTTCTTAAATCTCTTATCCAGTTGCCAGGCAACTAGGAGTGCAGTGCACACGCTTTAACCCATTCGGCTATCCCGCCCCCTGCATACAGGTGGTATTGACAGTGTAGGATAGAGGATGGGAGGTCATTTATATTGATCGAGAAAAGGGTGGGAGATAAGGAAGAGCCTTGTGGGACCCCTCTGGTCAGAGGTAGAGATTCTGATGGGGGTTATTAGGAATTACAACATACTGGGAGTGACTAGTAAAAGGAAGGATTGGAACCAATTTAGGGAACTGGAAGAAAAAGAGATATTTTTAAGTTTGGTTAGGAGGATGTTGTGGTCTACTGAATCAAAAGCTTTGGAAAAGTCTAGGAGAATAAGGATGGTTAGTTTCTGCTAATCTATGCCTGTGTGAAGGTCTTGGGAAATTTTGATTAGGGCAGACTGAGTAGAATAACCAGGCCTGAAACCAGACTGGCAGGGATTTAGGAGATTATTATCCTCTAAAAAATGGGATAGCTGGGATTGTACTAATCGCTCTAAAGGTTTTGAGAGGTTTTAAAGAAGTGAAATTGGTCGGAAATCATTAAGAGCTGATGGGTTTGAGGTCTTCTACAAGGGGGGTACTAGGGCGATTTTCCAGGATGTAGGGAAGGTAGCATTTTGAAGAGAATAATTGTATATAGATAGATAGAAAGTAAACTTTATTCTGGGACAAGGTCCCTTATGAATAACAGGTATGAACAAAAAAATAAAAACTACATCTGGCCAAAAATTACATTAGTCAATATTAAAGAATATAAAGTTTGTTTAGTAAAATTATATTAAAACTAGTAAAAATAACGGGAGATGAGGGCGATATGGGGTTTCCAGGAGAGGTTTTCGTCTATGGTGGTTCCTAGGTTTTTAATGGAGGAGTTGAATGTGATAGGATGATCGTTGATGACTAAAGGAGGAAGGAAGGAAATGGATTTAAGAATAGAACTGGAACCTATAATAATGGTCTGAGTTTTCATCACGTTAAGATTTAAATTATTCAGACTTGCCCAGGCACTGATCCTATCTAGGTCTGCCTGAATATTGGCGAACGTGACTAGTTATATATGTTAAAGGATCGGAAGAATGGATGGCAATACGGCTTTAATTAGCCTGACTGGGATGTTATCGGGACCGTAATCATTGGTATGGGACTAATGAATGGATCATCTGGTGTAATATAGGAAAAAAGAAGTGATTAGGATTAAAGGGAGAAAACATAGGACCCGGACTGGACGCAGGAGATGTGGTTGCAAGAGGGCAGGAGACAAAGTGAGCATTGAGGTTATCAGCAGAAACGGAATTGGACTAGGTCTGGGGTGCATTAACAATGGTCAGTTTTCTAAGAATAGTCCACGTGGCCTTGGTATTAGGAGAGTTGGATAGGGAATGATGGTAGTAACGGGATTTAGCACGCGCGCTGCTGATTGAGTGCTGTTTGAAGGAGAGAAAATCATCAGGAAGTCGAGTTCGTTTAAACCGTCGCCTTGCACCCTCTCTTTCTCTCATACACTCTCTCAATGCAGGAGTAAGCCAAGGAGCTAGAGGATATCGGATGGTTTTTGTGATTGGAGCATGTTGGTCGAGGATAGAGTGATGTTGAGTGGTAAGGGTTTCTACCATGGTGTCTATGGATTTTGAGGAGTAGATGGGATCCCACTGGATATCGTCAAGATCTTTTGACAGTGCTTCGTGAGTAAGAGAATATAGGTTTCGGAAGGATATTGTTCGGGGAGAAAAGGATGGGACAGGGATATTGTAAGAGATCTGGATAAAATCGTGGGAAGATAGAAATGGGACAGAGTGCTGAGATGCGGCAAGGAGTTTGTCTGAGGAATCTAGGATCATAAGATCGAGCTAGGACTCTGAGTACTGAGTATGATGGGTTGGATTGTAGGGTACTATGTAAAGGCTGAGAGAATGAAGGAGGTTTATTAGGTAAGAATAATCGGAGGATGGTGTCAGTAAATTGGTGTTAAAGTCTCCGGAGAGGATGATATTTGAGTAGGAAGAGATTAAGTTGTACAGAGAAGTCTCAAGTGATTCATCGAAATGAATTCTAGGAGGGCGATATATTACAGCAAACAGAATGGTAGATGAGGTTGTGAATATTTCGGCGAAGAGATATTCAGCGTGCGGAGAATCGGTTATGGAAGAGCATTGAAGGATTTTGAATTTGAGACTGTTATGGACAAAGAGACCTCCTCCAACACCCATGCGGTCTACTCTGTCATGACGAAGGAGAGTATAGTTAGGTAGAAGGATCTGGGAAGACAGGATTGTGGGTTTCAACCAGGTTTCGGATACGGCAATTACATGGTAGAAGTTATGGAGAAAAAAGTCGTAAAATTCATCAAAATGGGCTAGGAGTGACTAAGCGTTGACATGCCAGGTTAAAAGGATATTAGTCATGGAAGAAGGAGGGGTGGCTTGGTTATCGGACAGATGGAGTTAAGAATAGGAATATTTCTACAGTAGCTAGAGTCTATATGAGCCCTGGTACCATAACTATTGATAACATCTCTATTGAGAGGAACAATGAATATGCAAGATTTCCTAGATATTAATAATGATAAAAAACAAAAAATATAAAATTTAGTTAACGAAAAGCATGTTCCAACTGTGAAAAAGAAAAAAAATACATAAATTGGAATTTCTGAACAGATCAAAACTAAAATAAAATTATTATCATAGTACATTATAAAGATATAAAAAAATAAAAACAAAATTGTTCAATGTTATGTAACATGTGTATGCATGTCAAGCAAACATGTCTAAGTCTGATGGTGAGTTGACGACGAGGACCTGCTGTCCATCATTTCGTCAACATTTCACCTTGCCTGCACTAAACCAACTGTTGGTTGGTACTTGCCTGCAGATCTCTTTTGCCGAGCCAATCAGTACTAGTGTCTGTTGGTTAAGGACATAGCTTCGCTTAAGTAAATCTTGTGGGCGTCATTTTCTTCCCATCCGAGGTGGTGTGTTGAGAAATCCCTTATAACTTTTCGCCTCTGGACCAACTCATCCCTGAGCGACTGCCGGACGAACCTTACCACAAACGGCCTGGGCGTATCGTCTTGCCTGGATCTCATCCATTCTGCATAGTCTATGTCCTCCACTTTTAGATTCAGGTCCAGACCCGCCCCCACGCTCATCACCAGGCCCATCAGAGTCTCTCCAGATCTCACTGGGACTCCTCTTATTTCTATTGACCTGGAAAGGTGCAATTGCTTACTTTCATTGAGCCTGATTTCGAGCTCCGAGACCCGAGACTTGAGTCGTGTTTTCCAATCATCATATGTTGTACCATCTATGATTATTACTCTCAGTTACTACCAGCTAAATACATTGACAGTAGTATTGCTTTATTACACGCACTAATGACCTTGATATTTTGAGCCTAAATCAGCAAATGAAATATTGCTCTTCCAAGCTACATTGATAACGTTAAGATTTTATACCTTTACAAGGAATAAATAAAGAAAAACCTGTTTTTTTATATATCTCCAATACTAGTTTCCTTATAGGGTTATGGTTTGTACTATTCCATGTAGTTTATAAGACACTTAATCCATGCTAATTTTTGTAGGAATAGGTGAAGTCATAATTCAGTCAAGTTTTCACATTTTTTATTTGATAAAAAAGTCAAAGACTAGGTGTTTCGCTTTATACACGCTGTACAGAGATTATTTTTTTTAACCTTGTAAAAATTGTTGAGAGCATTATAGACATTGATTAATTAAAATTATTGAGGCAACCCTTCAATACGGAATAATTATCTTGCCTCTTGATGCTTCCTTTAACTTCAGTAACTAAACTAATTTAAGTAACGTATATATGTATTTATTTTGTTTTTGTTTTATAAATGTTATCCTATATTGTTATGGTACTGTGTAATATACATCAAACTGTTCATGTATATGTATAGGTGAGAATACAATTAGAGAATGGGAACTATAGTTGAGTTTTTTTATTAGTTTTTAATATTGTTTTATGATTTTATAATGTTGATATTTTTAAGATTACTAGTGTACATATATTTTAAGTAGTTGATATTTATATATGTTTTTAGAAATTTTAAAGTATTTGATATTTATTTATATTTTTAACAATTTTAAAGTTAGTTCGATGATATATATAGAATAGAAGAATCAACTTTATTCTGGGACAAAGTCCCTTTGTAGAATAGAATAGATTCTTCTATTCTATTCTACATATATGTGTGTGTATTTAATGTTAATTAGTTTGGACACGTTAATTTATAACCAAGAGTTATACAAGCTGTTTTTGTTGTTGATAGAGATATGTTCTTGATGATGTTATATTTAACATGGATGCATTTTTCGATTGCTTTATATAACATAGATCCAATTTTCATTGCTTTGTATGTACTATTTTGCCTTCGGACTCAGGACCGGGGTGGGCAGACGTTTAGCGATCCATTAGCTTAATATATGTGCTGGTGGACGGTGCTGAGACTGTCGGTGTGTCCCTGGCCTGATGTATCAAGGCTCTATTTTAAAAGTAGGTTGAAATAATTGTTATTAGGAACATATGGAAGCATAATTGTGTACCGATTGAGCTGTTTGTTTTTCTAAATTTGAAGAGGATCCTATTGTTAACTTATAAAAAAACCGGGATCGAAACGTCGAATAAACACTGAAACAATGAATATTTAGTAGTTTATTGAATAATTAATAAGTGACCTTATTCCCAATTAAATAATTATGTTTATATATATATATATATATATATATATATATATATATATATATATATATATATATATATATATATATATAGGGTTTTATGAAGCCCTGTTAAGTGAACTCAATGAGGATAATACCTAAATGGTGTTAAAAGCACTTAATTATACATTGATACATCGAGTTTAATCAAAATTGTTAGAACTGTTTTTGAGAAAATTGTAAAAATATGGAAAATGGATGGAATAAAGTTGGTAAAAAACTTCTGGTTAACCGATTTTAAGGGAAAAGTTGCTGTAATATCCCAGACATATACCTAATTTAAATATGTATTTTCAGTTTCGTACAATTATTTGTTATATCTCACCAAACACACACCATTTTGTGGGACTTGGTTATTTGGACCTTGGAGGAGACCTCAAAACTTATTTCCATTGAAAACTTAGATTAGAAAATTTTCACGATCGCAATACTTTCCCTTACTATGTATTAATAAAGTAAAAATAAGTTGGCATCATGATAAAAAAGAGAAACTATATTTAAAATTTTTCATATCTTATCTGCACGAAATCATATTGATTAATCTGCTGAAGAGGCTCATTTTTATATATTATCATCATTTTTAATATATATATTTTTTTTCAGACAGCAGAAACTTTAAAAGTAAAAGGGCTAGCCGAGATGCCTGAACAATTATCTCTGAGTAAATCTATTAGCCAGTCCTCTGAAAAAGCTGAATCACCATCCCCTATTTCACCATCAGTCCTTAGGCGCAAAAGGTTAAGGAAGTCTTCAACTGGTTCTGGTTCAGAACAGACCAGTGAAGAAACTGCTGCTAGTGGCAGTGGTAGTACTGATATTATTCCTTCCTCTCCAGTTAAGCATGAACCTGAAGAAGCCGTTTTAAGGCATGAAGCAAGCACAGAATCAGAAACTAGGGAAGGTTCTCATAGTTTTGAAGATGACAATTTTCCATCTGTGAGTTATTATTTACTTTTGAGTCTATTTTGTTTATGATTTTTTGTCAAAGTAAATTATTAATTTAGAGATGACTTTTCATTGACTATAATTAAGATTTCCAGTCATAATATGTTTATTATGGTTGTCCAAGGTTTTGACCCAATCAAGCTTCTGGGTCTTCATCAGGGCTAAAATAAAAATTAATTAAGCTAAAGACAGAAATACATAAATAGTACTCATAAATTAAAAATATATTATGTGGCTAGGATGCAAACAATGAGATACAAATAGTGCTAGGAATAAATTAAGTAAATTTTAGAATTTTAAAAACAAGTGCAATGTGTTAGACCAACATTATAAATTAAGAATTTTAACTATAAAGAATATGATTTAATAATTATGTGGACAACTTATATAATAATATTATGGGCCTTTTCATCATTTGATGTTTTAGGCTCAAAACATCTAAGTCATTAACGCCTGTAATAAAGTAATACTATTATTAAAATATTTAGCTGGTAGCTAGTGGTAGTAAAATCATAGATGGTACAACATATTATTTGAAACAATTAATTACTACATGTTTTTCTCATATTGCGCAGGGAACACCCAATTTGTGTCACAGGCATCAGCAGTCAAAACCCTACTAAACAAAAAAAGAAGCAACTCAATTGGTTGACTAGTTCCCTAGATAATCTTGGCACAGACAGACAGATTAGAGGCTGAAAATGAGTTTTTCAGAAAACATGAAAAGATCCATTGATTACCACACATCAGAAATTTGGCCCGATCACAATACTTATCTCATTTATGAATTAAAAAGTAATTCATATAAATAGTAAATTATAAACTAAACAATGGCTTTTGGCTAAGTTCGCACAAGAATTGTGATAGATAGTGAGATGACAGATAGATGAGGATAGGAGAGGGTAGGGAGTGGTGTTTTGGTTCCTGCCTCATAATGGTTGTTCAACAGAAAATACTGAAATTAAATTTTTACAAGTCAAATACAGATTTTAAAATTAAATAATAAGTAAAATTAGAATAAAAAATATTTAGGTAAGGTTATCTGTGAATAAATAAAGGGAACAAAGCTTCCGGAGACAAATAAATGGTAATGAAATTAAAACTACTAGTTGGCCCATGTGAATAATTTGCACAGTATATTATTGAGGGAGGTACAAAGCACCTGATGGTCTCTGAGGCTTGACAGGTTACTTAATACTATATTATATAGTCAAAACGCAATACCAATATTTAGGCAGACCTAGATAGGGTCAGTGCCTGGGCAAGTCTGAATAATTTAAATCTAAACGCGATGAAATCTCAAACCATTATTATAGGTTTCAGTTCTATTCTTTAATCCATCTCCTTCCTTCCTCCTTTAGTGATCAACGATCATCCTATCACATTCAGCTCCTCCGATAAAAACCTAGGAATCACCATAGACAAAAACCTCTCCTGGAAACCCCATATCCCCCTCATCTCCAGTAAGTCAATAGGTACAAGCTATTTCATCGCTTCCGCCACCCACTCCCACATCCCATCTGCAAGCTCCTTGTATCCTCTCTTATTTTTTTCCCCACTTGTTCTACGGCTGTGTGGCGGACGAAGGCATCCCGATGGTACTGGAGGATAGATTGAAGTGACTCATGAATTCCTGCTTAAGATTTGTCTTTAGTACATCGGGGCGGTCTCATGTGTCCCACCTTTATGATGAGTTAAAGTAGCTCTTCCCTTCTTTCCTCATACAATATTTCCTTGGATCTTTCCTGTTCCAAACGATTAAAACCCGACACCCTTCCTACATCTACAGTCTCCTACAGTTCAAATCCATGGTCCACTCCCAGAAAACAAGATCCCGTGTTTCCGACATTTATATCCCTTCCCATAGAATTAAGACATTTGAATATTCCTTTATTGCCCGATCCACTGCCTTCTGGAATTCCTTGCCATCTGATATCCGCCATGCCTCTTCCTTGTCCTCATTTAAATATCATCTCTACCAATTCCTTTTCACATCCCAAAATGACGTTATACAATGAAATAAATATTGTGAAACAGATTTTGACTGAGGTGAATGGTTGTTAAAATTGATTGAATGTTAATTTTAAAAATCAACCCATGCTTGTATTATTTTGTTTTCTTTTCATTTAAATAATGGATTATTCAAAATGGTGTTATTTTTACTTTTTTAAATATACTTTTACAGAAGATACTGTATGTATTCTTTAATATTGATTAATGTAATTTTTGGCCAGATGTAGTTTTTATTTATTTTTTTTCATAATGGACCTTGTCCCAGAATAAAGTTTATTTTCTATCTATCTATATTGGTCAGTGATCAAAGGACAAATTAATGAGAAAATAAAATAATGCAACATGCAAGTTGCAGAAATCAATTGTTATTTTCTTGCCAATTATGATTGACAAAGGAAATGAAAATTTAAAGGACATTGAGTAGAAAATTATAGAAAAGTTTCATAAATGTTGTTAGAGTTGTTTATATCCACTCTTTTTTTTTATATTGTCTGTGTACATATATTTTCAGCCTGCCAGTTGTCCTCAAAGATTTACCATTTTTCTTATACGGATTCACTTTATGCCGATCTTATAATTTTGTTTGCCTTTTTCTTTGTTCAGTATAGTTTGATCAGTTGTGCCAAGATAGGGACTTAAATTTTTATTCTTTTCCTCTACTGCCTTTTCATATGCTTCTGTGAACCACTTCTTAGTTTTTCATTTCTCCCAAATACCCATCACTTCCTTTCCTGTTTCTTTTAGCCCTGTCTCTATTACCTCCCAGTATTGGTCCACCATGAGGCTCTCTGAGTCCAAGAATTCAAATTTATTCTTCACCTCAAGTTGGAATACTGTTTTTACTTAAGGGTTTTTCAAATAACGGACTTAGTTTCTCTTTTCCAATTAATCCTTGCTTTTGTGAATTACCTTATATCTCTGACACAGAATCTCTCTCTGCTCTATGGTAGCTTCTTACATCTTAGATTAAGCTGTGATCTCTCTTGTCTACAAGCACAATTGGTTTTTTTGTTCCTTTGGGACTTTCCCATGTGAACATTGTGCTGCTGACCAGACCTTTAGCTGCTGCCAGACTGATACATCTCACTCCACTGTCATTGCTATTCTTGTGAAGGCTTTTATTATAATGGGCCTGAATGGGGTGGGGGTTCTTATCCTATCTTGGCATTGAAGTCAACTATGATTAATTTTATGGCATGTCAAGAGCTTGATTCACAATATTTTCTAACTGATCTTAGAAATCATCCTCCACCTTTTCATCTTAGTAATTCATGTATACACGTTATTATATCTTGTTAATTAGATTTTCAATAATCGATATTTAATTAAAAAAACATATGTTCATATGGATGATAAAAATGCAGATAACCACCATAAAGTTATGAGATATTTTGTTTATCAATAATAATTCCCTCTTACATAATAAGTAGCGACAAGGATTAAAAATGAGTAGAAAACAAGACACAATCCATTGTTTTAGATAAGTAAGCAGAAGACGGGAACAGGAGACAGGAGGAGAGAAGAAGCGGATGGTGTAGTATTAAGTTGAAAAATTTTAATTTTATAGATTTAGAGACATGCCATTCGTTTATAAGTTGGCTGAAGAATTACTTTGAGATGCTGAAGATCAACGAAAGTCAAGGTAAGAAGAGATCTCAAATTTTAATTCATACTATGGGTATTTATAACTACCAAGAATTATCCGATCACTTTAACCCTGAAAAGCCAAGTTCAAAGAGTTAGCAGGAACTTGTGGAAGCTGTTGAGGCCTTATTAAACCCGAGGCTAAGCATCATTGCTGAGCAGTTCACCTCCAGAAAACAGCAAGAAGGTTAATCAGTTTGAAAATGTTTAATGGAATCAAGTAAAATTGCCAAATATTGTAAATTTACGTGTGTAAAGTGTAAAAGTTGCACACAGGATGCACATGACTTCAACTGAATGTGTGGTGCTTGCATAAACCATGGAAAAAGCTAGTGAGGAGGCAGACCTCATCCAAGGTAAAAGAAGTTTAGCTTAGATAATGCGCAAACTGCAGAGAACTGAAAGATACCCAAGAAGAAATTGTTACAGGTGTTGCTCAGAGCGTCACATAGCGGATGATTGCCCATTCAAAACAGCAATCTGTTTTTTTATGTAAGTGTGTGGGATGCATAGCTAGGGCTTGTCGGCAGGTGAAAGGGGGCTGAGGCCAGGCAGGTTGGGAACGAGAAAGAAGATAGCGAGAGCTCGGAGGGCGATGTTGGAAGGGTACACCTCAAATCCGAATCAGTTCCGGAGTTATCTCCGAAGCCCAAGTGAATCTTAGTGAAGTGTCTAGTCAATGACAAACTAGTCACTTTTAAATATGACACGGGATCTACAGTGTCGACAATTACAGAGAAGGATTTTTGAAAAGTAAAAAATTAATCTGAACTAAAAAAACATAAATTTAGTTCTCACAACATATAAGAGGGAAATGATAAAACTGAGAGGATTCGCTACAGTTACCATCAATTATAACAACCAGACAGCTCGAGAGAATATACACTGACAGACAAAAAATTCCACCCCCTTGATTTTTTCATGTTTTCATCTAAAAATATTTCTGCTTTGGATTGGTCTATTTTTTTTAATGAATAAATAGGTAATCTTTTTGTTTGTTTTCAATTAGGAATGTTAATATAGAGGACAATAACCCTTAATCCTTAATTTAATGAAATGATTCTAGATTCCAATGTTTCTGGTGAATGCAGAAATTTGCACACCTCAAACTTCTTCGAGCTGATGAATCGCTTGAACAATGGTAAAGTGCCGGTTTCGTAAAATTCTCAAAGTCAAAAACCGGTCATCCCGTGGTTCTGTTACCCTAGGCCGTCCAGAATTGGGCCTTCTATTGTAAGAACCAGTTTCCCGAAAACGCCTGACGGCGTCTCGTAAAGTTTGATATGGAACTCCGATGGCATTAGCTGCATATCTAATGGAACGTCCATCATCAATAAGTGCCACACCACGCGCCACATCCTCAGCACTATGAGGCATTTTTAAACTTAATATTGAAAAAATTAAAAGCCAGAGACTAAGAAATGTGCTGCAAGAAACGGCACTGAAGTAATGATACTGAATAAACATTTTGATCCCATAGAAAGTAAACATTGGAATCTAGAATCATTTCATTGAATTAAGGATTAAGGGTTATTGTCCTCTATATTAACATTCCTAATTGAAAACAAACAAAAAGATTACCTATTTATTCATTAAAAACAATAGACCAATCCAAAGCAGAAATATTTTTAGATGAAAAACTCAAGTGGGTGGAATTTTTTGCCTGTCAGTGTATATGTACTACCAGGAAAGTTACAGCCGATATTTGGCAGAGAATGGATGGCTCTTGTGAAGATGGATGAAATAGGGCATTCCATGGCAATCATGAATTTAATAGATGAAAAGAAAAAAACAGAATTGTAGATGAACTAAAAAGGGATTTTGCTATAGTGTGTGCCGTTGATTTAGGTGAAATTCCTGGTTTTAGAGGGCATATTCAGCTGAAGAAAGGAACACAGCCGATTTTTAAATCTTCAAGAGTTCTACCATATACACTCAGAGAAAAGGTTGAAAAGGAAATAGACCGCCTGGAAACGGAAGAGGTGATTGCAAAAACAAACTATTGCGAATGGGGAACACCAGTAGTACGAATTGTTTAGCCGGATGGCTTGCTTAAACAATTAGCCCAAAAGAACGTAAGAATAATTTGGAAAAAGCATAATTTTTTTATAAGGGAAGACCTACCTCGGGCACAGAATCTCAGGAAATGGAATTGCAAAATGCCCGTAAAAAGTAGCAGTTGCTAGAGATGCTCCTCTGCCTAGAACCGTACCCCGGCTATGAAACTGGCTTGAGTTGGTTAACTACTATGGACAATTTTTAAAAATTTGCCTCAAAACTTGCTTCACTCTACCAATTGCTAACTAAGAATGCACGATTATAGTGGTTATAACAGGCAGATCATGCCTTCATGAGGATCAAGGAGGACATAATTCGTAAAAAAACATTGGCAACATATGATAAAGAATTGCCACTTATTTTAGCTGTGGATGCCAGTCTGATGAGCCTAGGTGCCGTGCTCTCTCTCTCAAATTTTCAGATGGAACGAAACATCCAATCTACTTCGCTTCCAGACGCTTGACTAAAGTTGAGTAGAAGTCCAGCAAGATTGATAAAAAAGCTATGGCTATTTATTGGGCTCTACATAAAGTTTTCACCTGCTGCTATGGTAGAAAATTCTTATCGGTCAAAGACCATAAACTGTTGCTAGCTATTTTTAACCCGATCAAGACTGCCTACACTTAGTGTCTACAGACTTCTCAGGTATGCTATCACTGTATAATGACACGTCGATCAGCTGATGAGGAGAGGACCATCGAAACAAGGAGGGAGGAGTTATTGTATCGTGTTAATTAGATTTTTGATAATCAATACTTTTATAAAAACACATATGTTCATATGATTGATAAAAAAGTAGATAACCACAATAAAGTTATAAAACACTTTGTTTATCAACTATAATTCTCTCTTACATAATACACATTAATTATTGGGGTATTAAACCAACGATCTTTAACTTGTAATACACTAATCCTTTCATTAATTAGAGTGGGTTTATGGTAGACTTAACTATAAATTCCATATCGGCTGTTGGATTTTAATCATTTCCCCCAGATTAGACACATTCAAATTCAACTTTTGGGTTTCCATAAAAATCGAAAATAAAAAGCCTCTATACACGTTGAATGTATTTTTGTAAGTGCCTCAATTTCCGCAACCACCGTTACCCCAGTGGTCATTATTTAATAAACATTTTTTTTCTTGTCTCCTGGGCACATTTGCCACAAGCTTTGGACATGGATCAAATATTTTTCACTCTAACATCACCTCAAAAAGTTTCATTGAAATGGATTATCCCATGTCCATAACTTCCCCTTCTAGTATAGTTCATATACAACTGAAATTTTTTTGATAAATCTTCATTATTAATTGTCTATAATTTAGCTACAAAATAGTTTAGATTTACTATGTCCCGAAAAGCAGGAAATATAAGCTTTATGTTTTTTTTAAGTGAATCATGTTTTCTCTTCAATAGAAAATGATAGCTAAAAAATATTCAATTTAGGTAATCAAGAATTTCAAAATATCTAGACTAAGGAGACTTATTTTTGAAAAAAAGAAATAGTCCTAAGAACTGCATTGATGTTCAGGATAAGAGGGCATGCTTTGATGAGACAGTCCACAGTCTCATTTGATAAACCTAGCAAGATTAAGGAAACAAATAGATCAAACAAACCTAATAAATTTAAAATCTAATAGAATTTTGTGAAGTTAAATCTACTAAACTTAAATATGTTAAAAAAATCCTAGAAAAACACGATGGGACCAGTTGTATTGATTTGAACTATCACCCATAGTTTAAGAACATTATAAATAAAAACAACATGTCAAAAATGTTGAGTTAGTTAAAAAAGTTAGTTATATAAATGTTTTTTTCTGAAGCAAACGGTATTTGCTTGCTATTGACAAATTTTGCAAAATGGACATTTCTGTGTTTGTTTCTGGGTTACTTATATATGCAAAGTTCTTCTACTAGTCTTTTAATTAGAGTTTAAAATTTTTAGAGAAACGTCTCAGAAGAAACAACGGAGTCTAATATCAGATGGAGTTCAACTGAAGAAAACCGCCCTGGTCCTTCTCAGCCAGCTCCTCAAGGTATTACATGATTAATTTAGTGACCTGTACCTTTAGACCACTCTTGAATTACTTTCAACTTTCTCTAAAAGCATTATATAAAAAAATGATATCCTCCATGGAGCTCTAGATATAATTGCAATGAAGCAATAACTATTTTTTAGCTATTCAAACATTGGATTAATGCTAACATTTCATTTCTGTTTTCTTCACCACAAATGTCTGCTGCAGTGTTTTTTTGTTTTTGTTTTTTTTCCTATTTCATCCTCAACTGACATATTTGTTTCACCTTGCTTCGGGTTTTTAAAATTGTAAATGTCTTTGAGAAATTAGAGAATGTAGTGCAGTACAGTATAGCTCAGCACTACTTTCAAAGTTCTTTCAAGAGCTATTCATACACTGTTGTCATGGATTTGGAACTTTTGTTTCAGTTGGTCACTCTTGCACTACTTAGTCCTTTCTTTAATATAACTCCATTTCAATTGGCGTTGAATATTGTTTAGAAGTGATTTGAATCGTATAATCAGTCACAGATATATACAAAGCAATTAAATCAGTGTCATCATTCATACTTGCTATGTTGTTCCATGCTGCTCCCCTCCATATCCTGACTTCATATACTGAGTCATGCCATTCAGCACTAGTGCTTGAGGGAACTTCATAGCTATATTGCATATCACTTATATGGTGGCATAATCCTTATGATTAAATTAAATACTCATCACCATTTATTGATTTCTGTATGAGTGCAATCTACTCATAGATTCCCATCAGTTGGTAAGTTAATACTTATTAGACACAAAACCTTTGCATGGTTTATATCTTACACCGTGCGGGGAAAATAAATTAATTTATTTGCTGAAATTTTTAAAATATCATTTATCACAGAATTAATGTTTTATATACTGTTGTCTGATTCATGTCAATATGTCATGTTAATTAATTGTGAAAGCCTAGATTAGTAGTGTAATACAAAAATATTTCCATGTGGTTGTCTTGCAGATAGTGCTTTTCCAGGAAATTCATCAGTATGTAGAAATTCTGATGTTGAAAATTCAGTGGTGCTAATTTTTAGAATAGCTCCTTGCATATAGCCAAAACTCTTCATCTTTTCATTTTCAACAATTTTCTTTCTCTTTCATGCTTAAACATTACAATCTTGAAGACGACTAATAACTGACAAAAGTGGTGTGTGCTCCTTCTTGGAATTAAAAAGAATAAAGTTTTGACTACAAGTGCTGAAAAACCAAGGTACAAGTAAAGGGGCTAGTTTTAATCACACTAAAGGAAATTACAACTTCAAAATACAGCAACAATTGCATTGTGATCACTTCAATAATTATAATACTACTGTTGAATTGTGACTTAGAATTTATATTTGATTGAAATAATAGGTTTATTAAGAGATACGGGTCATTCCAAAAGTATTTTAGGTTGAATGTTAAGTTGTTAAACACCTTAGCTGGGGTTTATAGGAGAAAAAGAAGATCTGTGATAATTATAAGATTATATATATTTAAATGCTTCAGTCTTAGTCTTTTGTCATTAATTGGTTTATTATGTCATAAATTATAGCTCTAATATGTCTTCTTCCGCTACCTCAAATTTTCTTTTTTTTTTTTCTTTTTTTAATTTAACAGTGCCTAAGTTATGTTGTATTGTTCAAAATATTTATTGGATTGTTTTGTATAAATTATTTATAATAATAAAAAATTAGTTCTATGTCAACTATAAACCATTTAAAATTTTTAAGAAATTTTCTCTTTATACTCAGCTCTGCTTTTCGTTTTGTTTTTCTTTGATCTACTAGGTTCCTGTAATAAGAGAGAACGAAATATTGTGATATTAATAAGAACTCATTTAAACACTATTCACTTTGCTTTCACAATACAAGGTGTAGCATAAATTTTATTAATAATAAACTTAAGATCTATACACACTTTTTAAATCAATTTTCTGGATATTTACTTATGATCTTCATTTTACAAAACCCACCTGTGGTTTCTCATATTACATTCCAACAATAGTTAGTTAATATGTTTGTGCTCCATTTTTCTGTTTATGTTTTCTTGATTAATGCAATATCTTGGTGAAATCTTTCTCCATGCTCCAAATCTTATACTGCTCCAAAACCCTCAAGAAAAAATCCCATTTGAGAATGGAGTTTCTATGTCATATTGCACGCTATAATGTGATAGGCCAATAATAGTTCTGACATGTATTCTAGGTAGTTCTCCGATTTATTGTTTCTAACATATTAATTACAAATGTTTTTAAATGAATGGAAAAATTGTCGTTTTGAGCTTTGCCTCACTCAGACCTAGAAACTTCTGTTTGGAATATATGAAATCAATCCATCCTGAAGATTCTTAAGATTCAAAACCCAAATCAAGAGTGTAACTTCAGGATGTTAGGGAGTGGTTAATAAGATTTTATGGTGTACTGATCAGATTGCTGAGGAAAAGGTCTTGTTTCAATATTGTGCTCAAACTATAGTTATATGCCGAAAATACATTTACAAAAATCAATCAGCAATATGTTTTTCTTATTTTATACAAAAAAAAAAAAATAAAAAAAAATAAAATCGATTGATATATTACAATATAGAAATCCTTGCACGTCAAAGACAAAAAATAATAATATAAAAAAAATGTTAAAATTATATAATATTTTTTTCGCGGCTCCTACGGCAAAAAACCCTTGGACATAAGTCCAATATTTTTTAACCTAGTATCATCAAAAAAAGTTTCATTGAAATCAATGACACCATATCCTTAACTTCACCTTGTAAGTAATAAAATTTGTCAATAAAGAAGATAATCATTAGAATCAGCAATTAAATTGATATATTTTAAAATGAACTTGTGTAGTGTCAATTAAATACCCTCACTTTTCTGAATTTTTTTTTTTCATTGACATAAAATAAGATATAATTGTTAATAAACTTATTTTAATAATGTAATGATAAACATATGGCTTAAAAATAATGGACTCAGCTATAAGGATATCTCATGTGGTATTCGTGAATCCAACTTATGTTTTATAAGTTAAATTATGTGTTCACATGGAGTGTTCTTATTATTTTATTTCAATCCCAAATTTATTTAATGCATGAGAACTTTAGTATCATAATTATTCCACTTATTTTAATTAATATATATTTATTATGAATGATTTAGTTCTTTTTTTACAATAAACATATTCGAGTTTTGATTAAAGCCTTGACAGACTGACTAGACTTATCTATTATTGTTTCCTATACCTTTATCTTAAATATATCCTTCATATTCCTACCACCTGTCTAAATTCTCATTCGTCATGTATCCATACAAAGTGGCTAGGTACACTAAGGACTCATTTTTCACCTTTTTTTTTTTTCTTATTTTAAATGTTTATTGACCACTAACAAAATTCTTTGACTTCTAACATGAATTTATTTTAATAATTTTATTCTATTTGTAATGCAATGTATTTATATAATTTTAAGAAAATTCATTTAATCAAATTTTGTGTATTTCCAGTGGATTTTATTCATAGCGTTTTATGCTTTCTTTATTACCTATATTATAAACCATCCAACCTTAATATTTCATTGGAGATACATCTTAGTAATAATGATTAAATGAAAATTAAATTCTAGCCCTTTGAATGTGCATGTCGTTTGAGAGTAAATAGGTGGTTTTCCTTTCCTAACATATTGTGGTTCCCCGGGTTAGGATGGCCGTACACTACTGATGGACAATTGGGTCTACCCTCAACAGATTGGCCTGTGTATCAAAGAAGAAAGCGATCAACCAACCCTCAGCAGGATGAGAACTTCATTGCAGCGCTAGAAGCAGTGAGGACTGGTGGTCTTGGATTTTGCAAGGCTGCAAAAATTTATGGTGTAAATAATCGAACTCTTTGGTTAGAATATAAGAAAAGAGGGTACCCTATTACTAGACCAAGCAGTAGATCTCGCTCTTCCCTCGATCATGCTTGCTCTGTTCAGAAAATAAAATTACCCCCACTTCCTCCACCTCAGCAACAAATTTCTCAAGATAATACTCTCTCAACACCTTTTGATTATCCATTGTATAATTTTAGTACTTTATGACAACAACCCCCCTTAGATATAGCTAAAAGTAACATGTTCCTTGCTGAAGCATTTATGCAATGAAAATAACAGAATTTAAATTTCAAATTATTATTTGAAAATATTTTGAATTTTATTTAAATTTTTAATTGAATCACATTTTCATACACCCATATTTGACCTGGAATGGCTGGAATTGGATAATGCCTAAGATATAATAAATAAATATTTAGTTAATAATTATAAAACAAATTATACATTGAATAATTAATAGTCTTTATTAGATGTATCCAATTTCAAGTTCTTTAACCAGTAATGTGTCTCCCAAAATTTATATTTTATATTCAATTCTTTAATGATGAGAAATTAGCAATTGTTTGCATAAAGGGTTGTATAATGACAAACATTTGCAAATTGTTTATTTATGTACTGTAATTATGTAAATATATTTATTTATTTCTCATTGTAGTTATTTGAATGTAAATACTATGTACAAGTTTTAATTTTATCAAACAGTTTTCTTCTTTTCCAAAATAATTTTTCATATTTGGCTTTTATAGTGGAATATTAGTAATTATGTCCAAATGATTATTATTGTATATAGCTTTATATTTATTTACAAATTTAATTTATTTTGTTGATCACTTAGGATTACAATAAAGTTAAAATGGTTTATTCTGCAGAGGTAAAGTTTAGGTAATTACCTAGGCCATTTAATTACATTGCAGAAACTAATCGTTATTTATATATGTATATAATCTCCAACCTCATACATGTAATCTAAGTTTTATGAAAGTTCAGTTAGTTTTATATGAAATTAATATTTAAAAAAAAAATCATTAAATTAATAATTTAAAATTGTTCATTATTTTTCCTTACATCATTTATTTTTCAAAATTAGGAATTTTGATCTCATGCAAAAACGAAGTTTTTGTTATTTGATTATTTTATATTTTTATTAAGATTAGTTAGTATTTAAGAAATGATTATCTATCAAAACATTTTGGCAGTTTTATTTGTTGATCTAAAACACCCGAAAAGTAATAACATTTTGTTTTTCTTCTAGGTTCTTTAAATTTTCTTTGTTATTTAAATACAATTATACTTAAAGTGCTAATTCCTCTATGCCATTATCTTTTCCCCACACATTATGCTCTAATTTGGCTATATTTTACTTTTCGTATAGCTAAAGATTGATCAGGGTTGTTGAATTAGTATTGACTTAAATTCATACTACAAGAATTTTATTCCTTCTTCTTTTTTTTTTAAATTGCTTGTTGCACAAAGAATTAATGATAAATTTTATTTTTTCAACTTAACTTAGTATTGAATTCCTCTCTCATGGTGTTTAATACTTAAAGCTAAACCAAAAAAATTCCAATACATCTTTGTTTATTATATATGTAAATGAGATTGCATTATTTCACATACACACATATATATATATATATATATATATATATATATATATATATATATATATATATATATTTATACTGTTAAATACGTTAGTAGAATATGCAATTTCTTAAAATAGTTTCAGACTGAGTGAACTTGGATTTTTGAAATAATTATATCTTGGTAACCTTCTCTTTAAGTTGATTGGTAGTGTGACTCCTTACATCATGAAGCAGGGCAGCTATTTCCTGGGCATCCCTTGAAGGTCGAGGTTTAGAATAAGGTTCTCTTTGACTTGATAGAAAACCTGAGAAGCTGATTGCATAATAAAGTAGGCCCTTAGTATTTGAAAATTAAATTAAATTTACAAGAAATGCCTGACACCTTCTTTACAGCTGCAACCATAGTATAGTACATCTAAGTTATGTTTGATTATAGGGGAAGAAAGATCGTGCAGCTTTCCCCCACTCAAGTTCCACTTCCCCAAGACCTCTCTCCAGCTCTGCTCCCCCTTTTCACTATATCAACCACCTTTTACTGAGAAAGCTTTATTCTATTTTCTTCAAATTTCGTACAAATGTTTATTAAAGGTAGGGATTTTAATTAAAAAAATGAAAAGGATGGTTAAATAATCAATTTGAGAAAAAAAAAATACATATGAAATTGCAAGGTCTACTGTTCACAGAACCTCGTTATTAGTAGAATCTGTAGATCTAAATTTACCAAGAAAAAGATAGTAAAAAAATCAAGAAATAGACAGAAAGTATAGAACAGAAGAGAATCTGATAACATAGTATTCAATAATGGGGAGGAGCCTTTGTCATTTACTTCTGAATGCAAACAAAGAGAATTGTCCATATTATGTATCATTTTAGACTGTACTGTATTAGTTCAAATTAAATGAATCGCAGTAAGTAAACAGCCAATCTTTCTGTGAATTAATGTAGAAAATAGGAAAAGAAATGAAAAAAAAAATATAAAAGAAAATTCTACTTGTAAACACAAATTTAAAAGTACATATGAATGAGTGGAGAAGACAAAAGAGTGGAGGATAGGTAGAAAAATATCTCTCCCCTCTACCAACCCTCAAACTTATCTTAGGTAGTGTCTACCAAGCAGGGCTTGAAATGGTAAAAAAACTTTTATTTTTAAAAAGTTTTGGCATCACTGAAATTTTTATTGGTTATAGTTTTTCAGTTCTTTTGGTACTAGAACTTTATCTCTTACAAGTTTCAAGTTAGAGGTTTTGTAGAATTTTTATTTTTTAAAACTTTTATTTAAAGGTCTTGTATATTTCACTAAAAAGTAGCTGCCCTTATGCTGGAGCTCATTTTTTCCATATTTACTATTTCCACTAATCAACCTTTGTAATCGGCCAAAAAAAAAATAATGATCTCCCATTCCCCTATAGTACAGTCTTAAGATTTCATTATGCCTAGCATCCAAACTTTGAATAAGATATATCTGTTAGTAATTTGTCTCCAAGATTATCGGAGCAACTATTTATTTCAGATCTTACACATACTTATCCAGGAAAAACCTCCATACTCCACATTACCATCCACCATTTTATTTCAAATTGGTAACAGATTTGAGATTTTGTATGCTTATGTCAACAGCTTTTCTTTGAGACCAGTGGTTCAATTTGTTTTTGTACAATTGGGGCCAATGTCTGGTATGTGGTCATACCAGGATAATCCTCAGAATTTGATATTACTCTGTCATTTTGTTTCAACATAGTATGCAATTAAATGTTTCTTACTGAACTTCATTTTTTCAATTGTGGATTGAGAATCTGCAAATGATACCTGTCTATTCAATCAGTTATGTGTCATCCATCTGGTTCTGTTTAAATACAGGAAAAATAGACATAATATATAATAAAATGTGTATACTTATAAAACTTTAGTCAAAAGTTTGTCTTGGCAATAAGAATCAAGATCTGCAGAAATCTCCCAAATTTCTTGGAAACAACCCTTCCTGGGGGAGTTGTAATGAGCAGGAGAGGAAGGGAGGAGGAGCCAAATAATTTTATAAAACAAAGTGGATTAAGGTGTTAATTGTTATAGTTTTTTTTGTTTGTAAATCTAAATAGACGACACCCATGATAAATGAGTCAATATTTCCATATTTATGGCCAATTTTATTTGAAAACACTAACTTTGAAATTAGTTTCATAATAATCTATCTACAATATAGAAATTAATACATGTAGGACATGTAGATTCATTCAGTTTAACCCACATCATTGGATCATATAACCCACATCAGTAATGAAACATCATTATTTTAAAAAATTCATATTTTCGAACATCCTCATAAAGCACTGACATTGTGTTTTTAAGACCACAGTTTGAGCAAAAACATTAGGCATGAGGAGTTTTCATATTGAAATAAGATGATAAGTCTTCTGTTGACTTTATCAATTAGGTATTAATTAACCTATTAATAGGTAATAGGTATAGTTACAAAATACTATTATTTATTCATTTATCTTTAAATAACATTGTTTTGAAAATATTGTTATTTTTGTGTGTTTTGATAAATATATTATGAAATATATACATGTATGTTAAATATTGACTATATTACCAAGAACATGGTCTCATTCGATTCCGAAACAAAACAACAGTTTGTGGGCTATTTTCTCCCTTTATAAATTTCTATCAAGAATTAAATTCCCAATATTAAAACAGGTATAGAGTGTGAATGTGATCTGTGAACACTATTGTAAATGTCCTTGAGACAGATTGTAAAATTTTTCAATAAATAACCTTCAATACTAAAAAAAAACAACAAGTAGTTCTTAACTGATCCATTTGTATAATATTGTAGGCCACTAATATGGAGGCATTGTTTTCAAAAGAAGGAATGAAAGATTTATAAATATAAGAATAAAAAGAATATTTTTTAGTATAAGTGTAAAATCATAAAAATAAATTAAGGAAGGAGATGTAGTGTAATATATAATATATGCAAATGTGAATATACTTCGACAGATCTACAGGAGAGATTTAAAGAAAAGGAAAAAGGATATTATATGAAATAATAGACATAAAGGAATGTGGAGAAAGAACAAAAAAAAAGAAAACCAAAAAATAAGTAAATAAAATTAGACGAATAGAGGCTTACCGGTGTGTTCAGCTAGGAGTTTCACTTAGAACTGGAAAATCAGGGTAAGGGTAGGTATTGGGGAATTTGCTGACCTGTTTGGGTCATTGGGAAAAAAACTAGAAAAGGTTCGAAACGTTGGCTTTTAATAAAATAGTTTTGCCACTATTTAGCCTATTTATGACCGCCACCCCGGACCATCTCCTTCCTTTATAATTCAACGGAACATCTATTCAATATTCAAAAATAAATTAAATATTAATTTTATAATGAATTTAAAAAAATAAAGTTTGCTTTTAATTGCAGATGTTACTTTCTTTTACTTGAATGACTAAACCGAGCTTTTCTAGACATGTTAGTAACAAAGTTTACTATTGGTTTAGTTTAAGAAGATCATAGAGCTATGTTGCTCATTACCCGTAGACTATGATTGACCAAAAGCTTGCTTAGATTATCTTAATGTTACTGTTATTATTACCTCCGTAGACTCTCCGTAGATGGGACATAGGGCATCTACAATTGTTTATTCCGCTCTTTTTGCAGCAATAGTTTTTGGTTTTGGCCAAGTCATGCCAGCCTAGCTCAGGTTATTTTGTACAGATCTGTCCCATGTCACTGTTAAAGTCTTAATCTTCTTGTCCTTGGGGGTTCCTTTGCAGAGTTCTTTCGTTGGCACTCTCTGGTTTCCTTAAAGTGTGTTCTATCTATTGCCATTTATTTTTTCTTATTTTGAGATGGATTGGAAACCGTCCAGTGGTTGTATTTTTGTCAGAGGTCCCATCAGGCTACCAGATCCTCAGGATCTTCGAAGGCAGCAGTTGAGAAAGATGTGAGAGTGTCAGACAACATACACTTTCGTTATTTACATTCAAACCTTTGCCTGTGATGAGATCGGTTTTTGGACCCTGGCTCCAGGGCTATTGTGGTAGTCGTCTTTATGAAATAATACTGCCTACTCTCCTGTAGGTCATATCATGTTCGGCACAGAAGGTTTTGAACAACTCAATTTTCCTGGTCAATGCCATGTGTTCCCATTATGTGTTCTATTCTCTCATTGCTAGCACCAACTTAGTATTCATGTCTCACATGACCATTTCTATGTCTCTTTTTGGAGTGTTATGGAGGACGATAAAAGTTTGTTTCCTCTTCAGATGGTTCCGTTGGAGCATAGTACTGCACATGGTTATATTCTTGATAGTCGTTTTGAAGTTGGCAGTTCTAAATCTATCAGAAATTGTTCTTCAGTCTATTAGACTCCTCCTGGATGATTTTGAGAAAAGAGTACCTACCCTACTTCTATGTTTAGCTCCATCTCCCGAATGATACGAGTATAGCAGAATCTCACCATC